AATTAGTCGGAACCCAGGAGAGGGTAACTTGTTGAGAAGGTTTGGTGTCACTTCTAACTATAGTTATATTATTTACCATTGCATTTATTTGTGACAGTCACACCTTAGATGTTAGATGTATACAGAATAAACAGACTCCTTATATCTACCAGGTACTCACCGATAAAAATCATTTTCACTGACAATATCCCTAAGACTGTCCTCGGGATCGACGACCCGATCATAAACTGAAGCCCTTTTACTCCGGTACTTCGGGAGCACCACCACTTCAGGTTTGTCCAAAAAGTCTTTCTTCGTTGGCGACATACACCCCGAGTCTAACAAATTCTCTGAATGTCCGTGATGTATTTCTTCACTAACGGGAATATCTGCGGGATTTTGAAGCACTAGCTCATCACTTTTACTTGAGGACAAGTCACTGAAAAACTCCGTGTTTTTACTGGCTCTGTAAGTGTCCAGTAAGGCCCTCGGGAAAGTGTCTCCGCGAGAAATTATTACTTCAGTCATTTTTAGCACAAGTGATCACCAAATGTTCTATTAGGGGCAAAATAGCTATACAAGATGCACTTAGAATAATGGCAATCCGCTTGCAGGCACTCCAATACCATGATTTGAATGTAAATTAGTGAAAAAGCCAACTAAACGAGCTCTAAAACTCAGCAACTTCAACAACACATGAATATAAACCGAGTAAACAACACAAAAATCGCGTTCGCGTCAGCAGACTGATCCATAGAACAAGGCAGGGATCTCACATTGACATGACACAAGACTGTTTTGCCAACTAGCGCATATATCGCAATCGGCTCCTTGCTTAAATAACATGCGCAAGTTAGTTTGAGGTTACGTTAATCAAAACAAACTTCTATTTACTAGTTAGTTACACAAAATATCCCCCCTATGTATGGGGGTATGTTCTGTGGTTAGTTACAGAGACAAGTTACTTGTCTCCGGTCTGAGGCATGCCCTGAGCACTCTCACTTAAAAACCTAACCGAGAACAACCGATTTCATAGTCGCCAGAGGCGCTACAGACGATAAAGAGCTACAGATTAAATCATGAAATAACTCACTGTAGGAAAATATTCTGTGGATGAATGCGATAACGCAAGTCAAATGTCAAATAAATCATTCCCATTGTTGTTTGTGGGTTTGTCATGGATGTATGATGACCAATCCACAAAATATCCCCCCTTATGGGGGTATGTTCTGTGGACCAATCAGTCTTAGTCGGAAAGCATGGGAGATCAGTTCGCCCACTGCCTTATCGCCTTTGAAAATGTCCACCGCAGTTATGGGCGAAACGTGAGGAAGAAATTCCGATAGACCACGGCTTCAAAGCCCGGAAAACATTCCTAAATGTAATTCTTATGAAACTTTCAGCATCTTTAGAGGGTGTTCTAAAGCCGGTGAAACTTTAAAATTGCCTTTTGCGTTAGTTTGAAAGATACGAAATTTTAAAGGAGGGAGAGTTCTCTGGAAGCAATTTATACCCACATTTACTAAGTTCAGTTTTCGCGTCTATTTTCATGAAACTTGTGTCAGCTATTTTCTAAAGCTGGTAAAACCTCCAAGTTGCTACCTGCAATAGTTTTGAAAATTCGAATTTTAAATAGATGGTAGTTGCCTGGAAACATCCAATTTTGAGACCAACATTTACTAAGCTGGTAAAGTTTAGAATTCAACTCGATTTTTCTGAAACTTTC